TAAACCTTTCATTAGCCTAATCTTAATGGTAATAAATCTATAGGTAAACCTATTAATTAAACCTTTCATTAGCCTAATCTTAATGGTTCATATCAAATCTATTCTCAGTACAAACCTATAAGACTAAAACTATTGGTCAAAATTGAAAAACTGAATATGATTTTTTTTCCTAGAAGAAACCTTTTGGATATCAAACCTACATGTGTCTGCAAAATGAACATATTGGTTATCCAACTTGGTTATTAAACCTATAATTAGAATAAACATATGGTTATCAAACCTATAACCAAACAGCAAAGTTGTTTAATAGAAATAAACCATTAAGTTATCAATCCTTTCATTACTGGCAGAGTAAACCTATTATATCTGGACCAATACTCAGAATAATTTTAAACCTATTAGATATATCAGACCTGTTATCCAAAAACCTTTTTCTTTTTGGTTATCAAGCTTGTCTGCAAAATAAACCTATTGCTTATAATAAGTACATCATCTGCAAGTCTGATTCTTACCAATATAAAGTTATAAAACTTTGTCTAATAATCAACATGACCCTACTTGCAAAATCTCAGAAGTTACTATGACAACCAAGTTTGTTTACCAACACACTTCTTATATATTTCCATATAGGAAATCAAAGTTTTGGGTATATAAATGCTTGGTAAATAATAATATGACCGTCTCTCTAAGTTTTCAATCACAATCCCTTTTGGTCACTTCAAAAGTCAGCTACAATGTTTACAAATAGACGGTTTGGAGCCATACAATTCTATATGCCCATCAAATATCAAGGACAAATAGAGCATTTCTGCATCAATTCCTCCATAATAATGAATCAGCTTAGACCTTATACAAGATCGAATTATATAAAATACTTTGTATAAATATTTGTTCACGATATTGATCATTGAAACGGTCAAACTTTTCACACAATACGTGTCCGCGCGCCAGATTCTTTCATAGGCTTTCATTGATCATTTTTGTCTGGCAGAGATTTGTTTGTAGTTTTATATCAACACCAATATATATAACTTCTGTTATAAGATAGCTCACCTATCAATCATTATTCTGTGAGGATTGTGATGCCTATGATCAAATATAAAACATGTCTTTTGATCTAGAACAATCTAGTCTAATCTACAGGATACAAGAGGGGAATGCCTCCTTTATAATGCACTTTAAAAGTCAAGCAAAAAAGCCATAGTACTAATGCAATGCTTTATATTTTGAAATAGATATCATTCATATTAAACAGGGCTTCTTATTCCCAGGAAATGCAATGCTTGGAAATATCACAATATCACCTTTTATTTTCAAATCTAGATAATACATTGGCTCAAAAAGGAATATGACCGAAAATATTTCATCACAGGCATAAAACATAATATAAACTTACAGTGTATGTAAGACTAAGTGTTAGGTACCTTTGTTATATGTTAGGTACTTTTGTTATATCTAATGAGTACATTACAATGTGTAACACTTTTGTTAACAGATTGACTTACTAGTTTAAATATGGAAGCTCTTTATAATACATGTATACATGGATCAATCTTTCATATAAACCTCCCTTAATTAACTTTAAACAAAAATACCCAATGTTAAAGTGTCACTTTTTTCATTATCATCATTTCATTTCCCTATATATGAATAAAGAAAATTCCAACATTTTTTTCACATTCATTTCTTGAATCAAGAAAAAAACCCTTTTTACAACTTTTTCAAATTTTAAAAAAAATTAAAAATTTTAAAACAAACAAGAAGGGACATTACCCGTTAAAAATTTAAAAAAAGGGGTTTCTTTCCTTTTGGTTTTAAATTTTTTCTGAAACAAAAGTATTTTAAAATACTTTAAAAAAAAATGCAATGCCCAAAGGTAGTTTTTAAAAACTTCTTTTGTAAATTGGGTTTCCCCCTTTATTTTAAACCCGAAGCACCAATTTAAAAACTTTTACATCAAGAAAACACAAAAAAAAATCAAAACCCCCTTGGGGAAAACCGGCCCTCACAAAAAAAGATCAGAAAATTTAAAATAAACTGGGGGATAGATTTTTAAAATAAAAAAAATCCCCCTTAAACAATTTTAAAAAAACAAAGAAAACCTTTTTTTTTTTTTAAATCATGTAAGACATAAAAACCCTCAAATTTAAATTAAAAATCCCCCATTTTTTTAACTTTTAGATTTCCTTTTTCATAAATTTGCCCTTATCCAAAATAAGGTATTTTTGGGAATTTTTTCTGGATTCTTTTAAATATAAAAAAGGGGCCCCCTAAGGGGAAAAAAAATCCCCCCACAATTTAAAAAAAAGGAAAAAAAATCTTTCACATTTTTTTGTTGGTTGAAAAACCCTTTTTTCTAGGGAAAATCTAAAGGGCAAAACCAAATTAAAACTTCCCCTTGGTGGAACCAAAATTAAAGTTTTTTTTAGGCCCCCATGCTTGCCAAGTTGACCAAAGGGTTTTATAAAGTAAGGGACTCGGGTCTTTTTTATTTTTATAAATAAACCCTTAAAAAAATTTTGGGCTGCCAAAATTTCCCAAAAAATTCACAAACTTAAAAAGTCTTACCCCCCTTTTTGGCATTTTTTTGCTAAGCAGTAATTTTCAAAGGGCAAATAATTTAAAACCAAAATTTTTTTTCAGTAAATTCCATTTTTACATTGCAGTTTTTTTTAAAGGGGACAACCAATTCTGTCCGAAAATTAATTTTTTTTATTTCTTAAGAAAAGGGCAAAACCAAATTAAAAAGCTGGATTTAAAAAAATTTTGTAATTTTTTTCCTTAAGAAAGCAGCAAAAAATGTGATTGTTAATGTGGGGGCCCCGGGAAAAAGGGGGGTTAAAACTTTAAATTTCCCCAAAAACACCCCAAACCCTTTTTTTTAAAAATTTTTACTAAAATTTTCCAAAAAGGGCAATTTGCTTTTGGGTTAGCTAAAATGGGAAATATTGGGATGTTTGGAAACTGACTTCTGTAAAAGGGCACAATAAAGTTTTTTTAAAAAAAAAGAAAAAAGGGATTTTTGGGGCTTAAAGGGCCCTTTTAAAATTAAAATGAAAACTGGGAAATTTTTTTATTAGTCTGCCAATAAATAAAAAGTAATTAATTCAAGAGAAAATTTTATAATTCACCTAAAAAAAATTCAAAGAAAAGGTTTTGAAAAAAACAAAAGCAAGACTTGAATTTTTAATTACAAAACCCCAAAATTTTTTTCTCTTTCAAATAAAAGTTTTCCTTTTCATTTCATTCTTTAAATGTTGGGGAAAGGGAAATTTTTTATTTTAATCCCATTTTTATATTTTAAAATTTTTCTCCCCGGGGTTTAAATTTTTAGTAATGTTTGCATATGTTAAAAAATTTTCCAACCATGAACATGTTTTTCCAAACCCAATTCCCGTGTGCAGATGAAATGAACTTTTGATTATTTTTTCAATAAAATTCCCTTGTCTGTATGCAAACAATTTTAAATTTTACAGATTATTTAAAATCTTTTCCTAACCCTTTCAACTAAACCTTTCAAAAAAACATTTAAACCAAATTTTTTTAAAAATTTTTTAATTTTAAAAGGAAAAACAAAATTTTTAAAACAATTAAGTACAAAAATTTTTTTACTTTTAGGTTTTTTTTTTTAATTTTAAACTTTGTTCAAAATTTTATTGTTTTCCCCTTAAAATTTTGAACAAAATCAAATTTAAAAAAAGGGTTGTTAAAACCCCATTTTTTTTTTCCCTTTTCCCGAGAAAAAAAAATTTTTTTTTTAATAAAAAATACTTTTTTTATAAAAAAAAATTTTTCCAAATTTTAAGGAAAAACCTTAATTTTCCTTGGGCAAATATTTTTAAAGGGGGTTTTTGTCTAAAATATTGTTTCATTCTAAAGAAATTTAAAGGGGAATACCTTCTTTTCAAGTTAAAACCTGCCCCAAATGTAAATTAGGAAAATTTATATCAAAAACCTCCCAATCAAAACAGGAAAAAAAATAAAAAACCTTTTTGAAATCCAAATTTACATTTATAAATAATGTATCTGTTCAATTTTAAACCCCAATACCCATTCCCACAAAATTGGGGGGAAAGGGGAGGGGGGGCACTTTTGGAAGGGTAGCCAATTTTAAAATAAATCAAGCAAGAAGTTTTACCTTTCTTCTTGTGAAAAACACTGCCAGTTTTAAATACTTTTAAAAAATTGTTTCCTAATAGCACCTTGTCCAGAAATTAATACGTTTTTCGGATACTGGGCTATTTTGTGTGTGGGCAATATCTAAAACATGAGATTTTGACAAAGGGAAAAAATTTAAAACTTGTAATTTCCACATTTTTGGGGAAAAGGGGGGCCCCTTTTTTTCCCCACCTTTGTGGGGGAAAAAACGCCCGACATTTTTTTAAAAAGGGGGGAAAAAATTTGGTGTAGAAATTTAAAATTTGAGGGAAAAATGCTTTTTTGAAAGAAAAATTCCCGGGGGGTTAAAAGGGCCTTGGGGTTTTAAAAAAAGGGGGCCCCCAAAAGCATTTTAAACCCCCAAATGGGGCTTTTCCAAGAACTTTTAACCCTCCAAAATCAAAAACCCGGGATGGGGGCCCTTTTTTAGTGAAATAGACCCGTCTTTTCTTAAAAAGGGCTTGAAGTGAAAAGTCTGTCCAGATTGCCAAAGGGAAAAGTCAATTACCCGGGCCCCTCCTAAAATTTTAAATCTACGTTAAATATTTTTACTTTAAGGGCCACATCCCAAAACGTGACATTTTCCCTTGTTTGGGATTTAAAATTATCTTTTACAAAATTTGTAAAAATTTTAAACAAATTGAGACCATTCCCTTTAAAGGGAAAAATTTTAAAAACAATGTTCTTTTTTTCCGATAACATTATCAATCATACAAAAATCACAACGTGTGTTGTGAAGTAAGGCCTCCGTGACATACCGCAGGTATTTTCATATCCTTCAATTATCACATAATTTCGCGAATTATGAAATCTATAATCTTGTACAAAAATATTATACTTACGACGCCATTTGAAGTGTTATAATCCCCAATATAATATCTGTCTAAAATTTTGAACGCCGCTGGGGAATGTCTGTGAATTTCTAACGATTTCATAACTTGCGTAACGTCCTGTCCTACACGATTTTCAATAATTTCTCGTCCACCTGGGTGACGGTCTGCAAAGTCTGTCACGTCATATATCTTCCCTGAATGTAACACACATAATCTCCCACCTTTTATTTGGCATCGAAATGCCGCATCTTTCGCGTTGGACATTTTCCTTTGACACCCTTCGCCACTCTCAAATCCAGTTCGCGTACACTCAAAACAGAAACTGTTGTATAGGACTGTATATTGTAAAAGTAGGTCAAAGGCAGCAGCCTCGATTTCACCTTTCTTATAACAGACCGGTTCCCCGAGTTTATTTTAAATAACGCTTTTGCGCTCTAAAAATAAAATATTAGTGTACCCGACTCAGGTACCAATTAACGCCAATTAAGCAACCAATTAAGACAAGCAACTAAACCGTGCTGTTTATAAATATTTATATCACATGTTATTTCGTCACTGGAACGCTATTATTATGACGTGACTTTCTGTTTACTGAATTATTTATAGTGGGTCGTCATAAAGTTAACATACGATGCTATTTTAAATAATTATTCATCCGGACTTTGATCAGAAACGTATTGTTCGATCATTGGTGCTATAAATGGATAATCTTTGAAATGATAAACATCATAATCATAAGATATCATTTATACATTTACTGTACTGTACTGTATATATAACGAATTTATTTATTTATTTATTTATTTATTTATTTATTTATTTATTTATTTATTTATTTATTTATTTATTTATTTATTTATTTTTATTTATTTATTTATTTATCTAATTGTGGCATCAGGTATGATTTATATTGCCCTAGGAAATTATAATTCCTGGAAAACTTAATTATAACAGAATTCCAAAAACCCGGTAACCATTATGGATTAAAAGTGCATCCGCACTCCGAGTTGGACATATTCCCGCTATTTTTTTTGGCGCCAAAACAAAGGTGTAATATATATGCGATTAAAATTCGCCAAATGTGCCGACTTAAGAGTAACACTGAACTAAGAACACTAATAAGAAGCCATTTTTTATATTATTATTTATTATTATTATTATTATTAAAAATTTATTATTATTTCCTAGACAGGTATATATTTATTAAAAACGTACCTGTTCTAACGTAGATGTATGCATTAGAAAGGGGACGATCTACAAATATTAGGTACATTAATTATGTACATATCGAAGAACGGTCATATGCTAAAGGCACTTATATTTTAAACCAATTAAAGTTGTTGAGTATTTGTTATTTTATTACTTGATTAAGATAAATAAAAATCAATTTTTATATAGCCCAAGGATACACTATTTTTGTTAATACATGTGCAAACAAGTTGTTTCAAATAAACTAGCTGTTGAAAGAATATAGCTAGTATATATAGCTTGGCACGACAATTTATCTACGAACACAATTTTGAAATCAAAATAAAATATAATTTCAGTCATTTAATAGTAAGTGGGAAAAATCTTCCAAAAAGTGGCATGTATACAATACATTTTTCATGCAATTCAGTGACCATACCTCGTATTATTAATTATACATGAAGAACACGACACATGCTAGCGTGCTGTGTTCCCGTTTAATGTAGTCAATGTATATATCGATCAGCATTTTATGTATTAAGGTTTCAAACTGTCTGTTCACTTTCGTTGTAGAATCATAGATCTACTTGAATTGACATTTAATTAATCACTGTCGATATATCGATCAATTGACGAAATATTGCGGATGAAATAAAATTATCTATTACTTCAATGGTCAGTGATCAAATTCCGGTGAAATGGGATTTAAGATTTATCAGGCATGAAAATTTATCAATTAAAATGTAGATTTTATCTTGGATACTCAAATCCTTCAGAAGATCTATGCATAATTTATTGAGAAAAAGTCCAATTGGTTTGCCAATGGTCTTTCAAACTAGTTTGTCATTAGCTGGGCATTTATGTGAGCGTTTACAATATATTTAGATAAAAAAATCAAAATGTAAACGTCTGCCAAGATTTTTTATATATTACAGACGATTTTTTAAGTTAATAATATTATAGGGTTAGACCACGTCATAAGGATAAAGGATAGCCCGTTTCCTATTTTCTTTGATGAGATACGATGACGACACCAGTGAGCGGCAGTTGCCCGTCCCGTCATTTTAAGTCCCAGGCCCATGTTAATTACAGTTGTAGTTCAATTTTAGGCATTGTTCGTCAGCAATTAAGCATAATAGGCAACTTCTGCAAAATTCATCCCTTCATTATAAAATCATTCTCAAACTATTTATCAAAATGGCCAAATCCATTCTTTTGGTCTAAACGTTAGATTTTTATTTTCATCGAAATCTGGTCGTCAAATTTGTCATTTTTGGATTGGTAATTTCTATTTCTATAATGAGGCCCTAACCTTACCTCATATATAAAGGCCTTGCATGTTATTCCATTGTTCAAAATTCGTAAAGATATTCATTGATAGAGGAAACACCCATCACATAAAAGAAAAGAAAAAAGCAACAATATTTTGTTTTGTTTTTTGTTAAATGTTTTAAACATTAGCATGCGTTTAATATTATGTACACCATGTTTCATGCGTTAAATTATAAACATGGACATAAATTTTACAAAAAATAACCTGGTGGTGAATGTTTTTACTATTAGAATACATGTATAGTGATTTGATTTTTTTATATGTTCTAAATTAGTTTATAAACATATTCATTTAAGCTCGATTGCGAAACAAGTTCTTGCAATTTATATTAACCGCTTTCGAGTCTGCTTCCTGGACAATTTATATTAACCGCTTTCGAGTCTGCTTCCTGGACAATTTATATTAACCGCTTTCGAGTCTGCTTCCTGGACAATTTATATTAACCGCTTTCGAGTCTGCTTCCTGGAGCGAACTAGTACTGCACGATGTCTTATGAAGGAAAACATGATACGTTGTGGCCCGGTTAGAGCTCAAACTGATGGTCCCTGGTTTGAGAGGCAGACAAGGCATGGTTATTTAGATTTTTTTTTTGTGTTTGTAGATTCAATATGAATTGACATGCTTTTTCCCTGCCATCCTGCAAGCTCAATATGCTTTCTTTTCCATGTATACATGTATCTAATCTTTCTTTACGCGTGTTGCAAGCCGTCTTAAAAAACAACCAGAGTGTTTTATGACAGACAGACAAACAGGCAATTTACTTCAATCAAATAAGGCTTATAAGCCCATGATGACATTATAACAGCATATTTTACAAGATAACGAACAGTAATTATGTATCTTGTACTATGGCCTAATGATTATGTAACTTAGTGTACAGTAGGTCACCCATATCACTTAAGGAAGTTCACTGTAATGGCCAAAAGGACTGTTTTCCAATTATTGCCCTAATTTGTATTTACACCTATCCTGTGCCTTTGGGCAAATTGTTATCAAACTCGTGTCATCAATTATGTGCATATAATTTTACATGCATTTAATGAGGCCAAATGACAAAAGTAATGACCCCTGGATAGTCCAACATTTTCCACTTTTGTATTCTTTTCCCTTTTCACCGCAGATACCGGCGATTTTTCTCGATCTTCTTCTGTTTTTGTATGATTTTGTTTGTGCGTGCGTGTTTTCGGTCTTTAATATAATCTTTTCATAATGACGAGTCTCTTTGGAACAATCTTAATTTGATATGATCTGTAACTTTAAAATTTGATCACATACGACGCTATACATGTAGTTTTACGAAATAAAGACAGTATAGGGAAAATTAATGTTTCGTTCTCGAGTTCCATGGAATAAATTTATATTTCATAGTCGGTATCCCCAATTCTAAAAGCAGAATATTAGCTCACATGAGCATGAAGTAGGCCTACGTAATGTTTGTCCGTCGTCGACAGTTTGTTTGTCTGCACAATAGCAGCTTCTTTTTGTATCCAAACGTGCTAGGAACTTTTATCACTAGAAGTGCTCTGTCCTTTTCTTAAATCAGCCAGACACAATCAAATATGACACTTACTATAGTAGACTTGGTTTCTTTATTTAAGATGAGTATTTTCGTCATGCATTACAAATTTTCTGCAAACTTTGTCAATGTTTAATTTAGAAGGAAAATGGACTCTCTCAATTTCAAAATATCACTATTATTCTCTCTTTCGCTGTATAAAAGAAACATATCTCTATCACTTTTGCCAAAAAGGTGGCCGTCATTTTACTATGTGACAGAAAGTAGTTCCAATATGTCGCTTTATTATGTCAAAGGTCTATCGCGGAACATAATAGTCAAAGAGATCAGTCTGAGCCTTTAGTTTTGATAATTGGCATGCATAAGCATTTACAAAGGTTGCTGAAATAGCATATGATATGGCTTAGAGGCTTGATATTTGACATCAATTAGTCATTTGTACAGCTTTTCAATATTCATGTGATACGAACTTCTGACCTTGGATGAGAGAGTTACATAGATTTACATCTCCTTTACAGAACATGGTATCTTATCTACCGATAGTTTTCAGGTGAGTGATTTATGGTCATAATGGACCTCTTGCTATCAAGAAATTTATTAGGAAACAATTCAGGCACTTTCTGTCACACATCAGTGCCACCTTCATAGCAACATATATATGAATCATTGATGAACTGTATGGCGTTGTAATAATGTTATCCTATACATCCATGTACGGTCAGTCTCTGTTACTGGCTGCTGAATTCCGATTATTTTAGTATTGCAATTTATTCAAATTCATATACGATAATTCTACGTCCAAATTAAAGCTGGTCAGGCATATTGCATGGTCAGCATAGGTAATGGTTAATGGCGGCAATTATCAGCCGGTATACCCGTATGCACTGTTAGCTATTCAGTCAGTATATATATAGAAAATTTCCTTAAAATGATGAATGGCTTTTCCTATTTTAAAGGTGCACAAGTCCATTTAAATTTATATATCTGTGATTAGAAATATTGTAAAAACAATGATATCTCCGATATTTTGAAAGCATGCCTTACTTCTTTAAGACTATTAAGTTATTAAGACTGAAATGTGCAATTCACATGTGTACAACACTTGCAAAGTAATTCATACATTTATAATTTTAAAATTGTTTTAAGTTTGTATGGTTTTACGTCACAGCAACACCGTTTATAGTATAGGTCAAATGGCAACATGCCTGCTGTATCTACTGGTGGAGGATAACCTCAAGTGTCCCTCTCAGACAGGAGCAGGTATTTTATAAGAGTAGACTCACCGACTT